AAAAAAAAAAACTTTACTCATAAATCCATACGTTTTTCTTATTTATCTTTGAAAAAAAAATTCAAACGTGGTAACCCGCAACATTAATTCGTAACCGGTGACATTATACAAATCACTTACCAGTTTCAAAATTTGTCTTTACTCATTAGCTTCAAAGTTTTTTTGTTTTTTTGTTTTTTTTTTTGGTAACCGGCAAATGCCATTTTAAATTCCAAGTTTCCAACGGTTTCTCACTTTAATTTACTTCTGTCATGTTGTGTGAAGGTCTATAAGTAGGCAGCCTCCATTCCTAGAAAAGGTTGATACATTTTTCATAAGTTGTACTTTTATTTGGTAAACATAGTATTAAAATTTTTTTTTGATAAAAAAAAAGTGATGGCACGGAATTCTTAAATAAAAAAACAGTACTGGTAAAGATATAATAAAAAAAAATAAGAGTGATATAATCATAAAAAATTATTACGTCAATGACACGAAACCTTTTAAAAAAAAATTAATTTATGTATCATCTTAAACTTTTTCGTACTTTTGGTGATATTATTTTATTTTTTTATTTTTAATTAATTATTTTTTATTAATCTTTTGTCTACTTTATTTTTTCTTTTTATCTTACGAGAAGAACAACACATCATTGTCATATCATCCCAACAACAATCCTCTAATTGCAACAAATTAGAAATCCTTCTTCAATCCATGTCTACACTTTGGATCGACCTGCAAAGTCTCGAGGTAGGTTCTCCGTGTAAACACTCCGATACTTAAGTCAATAATAAGCGGGGCTACCTCAAGAGTGGAGATAAAAGGAGCTTAGAGTTGGTTTCAATTCCCTTTTTTACGTGGCCCCTTGGGGGATATTTATAGGCTCCAGTGAGGAACCCACGTGGTATGCCAAGCAAGATAATCGGAGCCTGACGTGTCTATCCGACGGTTATTTCGAGACCAAGAATTTGAGAGATATTCAGATGCAAGGATGTCCATCATAACTGTTGTGCAGCTCATCATAAAGAATCAAATGTGGGCATGTTTATTGTCGCTGTCATGCAGCTGTTTGAGCGGAAAGTTTTGGATTTATTTTTCACTTCGGTCATAAAGGAATTACTGTAGTAGTCCGAGGCTGGGCATCTCGGACCTATCCTTACACTATTCCTCCCCGAAGTCATTCACTTATGAATGATGTTGTTGGAGATAATGGAAGTAGTGCATAAATAGAAAGGAAGGGAGATAGAGATATTAAAGATGAGTTACAGAGGTAAAAATAAAGATAAAAATAAGAATCTGTAACTCATATGTATGTATGGCCGTAGTTAATTAGTGCACTATGAGATAGGGGTCATGATGGTCATACCCAAAATAAACGGTGACCGAAGTGATCAGGGCCGCAGCCGTGGAAAAAGTAATGACCAGAGGCATAGTGGCCGGAGCCGTAACAAAAAATAATGACTGGAGTGATAATGGCAGGAGCCGTAACAAAAAGTAATGACCAGAATCATAGTGGCCGGAGCCGTAATAAAAAGTAATGACCTGAGTCATAATGGCCGGAGCCGTAATAAAAAGTAATGATCGGAGTCATAGTGACCGGAGCCATAATAAAAAGTAATGACCAAAGTCATAATGACCGGAGCCAAAGTAAAGCATGTGACACTGGGTCACTGTGGCGGTAGCCGAAGTGAAACGTGGGACACTAGGTCATTATAGCTAGAGCCGAAGTGAAACGTGTGACATTGGATCATTGTGGCCGGAGCTGAAGTGAAACGTATGACACTGGGTCATTGTGGCCAGAGTCGAAGTGAAAGTGTGACACTAGGTCATTGTGGCCGGAGCCGAAGTGAAACGTGTGACACTAGGTCATTGTGGCCGGAGCCGAAGAGACAAATAAGACCAGAGTCATCAGGTCGGTTGTCGAAGTAAAACACTTGAAAAATTTGAGAATGTGTAAAAGTGAGCAAGAGTGTTGAAATGGGCTTAAGTGGGGCCGTTTGATAAGTCTGACAAAGAGGTAGTACGTGATGTGACAAATGTCTTCTAAATGACGTGTGTAATAAATACGGTTGTAAAAAGATAACTGCAACAGTCGAACGGGCAGATTATAAAAAACGAACCGTCGAGTTCGAAATGGTGCCGTTTGGGGTTAACCATCGAATTTGAAACGGTCTCTTTGTAGCCGTTAGATGGAGTTAATCACAGCCGTTGAGGCGTATTTTGCCTTTGGTATAAAAGGCAATACTTCTATAAAAATGGGTTTTTACCTTCGCTATTTTGCTACCAAATTCTTGCTAAATTTCTGCGGTTTCGTGCAGTCTGTGCTTCGTTTGAGACTTCAATAATAGTTTCACAATCTGCTTTCTCCTTTTCTATTTTTGATTTTGGGTCGTTTGAAGGAAGTTAGGGTTGGGAGTGAAAACGCTATGGAGTGTGTGTTGGAATTTTTTAAGGGTCCTGACTCCATTCCTCCTCCTAATTTATGCAGAAATTGAGGAAATGTCTTCAGAAGGGACAATGAGTGTAGTAGGAAGTGAGGTGATGCCCATGGAGTATGGTGGCATGGATTCGGAGAGTAGTCCGTCTCCATCTAGTTCGGAGAGAACCGTGGAGGAAAGGAGGGAGGGGAGGGTAGGGGAAGAGGAGGAAGAAGAAATTCCCTCAAATATACTAGAGGTTGAGGGTAATGTGAGTAGGTGTTACGACCCTGATTTAGACATAGTGTCTGAGGTGAAAGGGTATGTGAGTGAATTGGGTAGCAGGGGAGGTCTTAGGGGTCTTGTAGTTAACTGCAATCTCCCTCACCAATGCTAATTAGGCCTACTGGGGTGAATGAGAGAGCATGCTCAGCACCCCAAGACCACTGGATGCCCATGTATGTCCATTATTTGGCTGCAGAGCTTAGGTTCCCCATTCCAGAATTACTGGTTGGGTTATTATTAGATTATAGTATAGGAATAACCCAATTAACCCCAAATGCTATAAGAGTAATAATAAGCTTCATAGTATACTGCCGAGCTTGAGGGGTTGGGGTCCCGACTGTAAATATGTTTAAATATTTCTTTATTATAAAGGGTGGGGGCAAGGGTGAGAAGGGGTGGTACTACTTCGGCCCTCGGTCGTCCAGCAAAGAGAATATGAGTTTATTCACTGCTGGACCGTCATCCATTAAAGGATGGAAAGAAAAATTCTTCTTTGTGGATGACATCGAGTGGAGTAAGAGGGACGCCAAAGTAGAACAATTGTCTGCTTGGAAAGCTAAGAAGACCAAGCAGAACAATTATAAGTTGAATGAGGATGAAGTAGAAGAGGTGGGGAAGTTGGTGAGGGAAGAAGGGGAGTTAATGGATATCATGTACCTCACCAGCGCAGAGGCGATAAAGGCTGCCGAGCTTTATGGGCCAAGCTCATTGAGCGAAGGTTTGTTTATCTTTGTTGTGTGGATTTTAGTTAAGATTCCGGTTGGTGTGTTTTGACATTTGTGTTTGTTTTGCAGCTAAGATGGATAGCTTTCTTAACACTGCTGGAGGGTTGGCTATCCCAAAGAAGCCAAGGAAGAAGTCAAAGACTTCAACTGCGGCAGAAAAGGGGGCGGCAGAGAGGGAGTGATTGTCCAGCACTTCTGCTCAGGCTCTGGAGATGCAACAAAGGCCAGAGCCTATGAGGAGAAACAATGAGGAAGTGAGTGAGGAGGTGGCGCCACTTCAGAAGAAGAAGAGGAGGGTGGCAGAGCCAGAGGCTAGGAGGGATGAGGTGGTAGAGTTCGTGCCTCGGCCTTCTCCTCCTGAAGTTGATCCTGCAGTCAGGGAGAGGGAGGAGGCCGAGGTGCGAGGCCCTGGCAAAGGCAAAGAACTCATCCCTCCTCCTTCGTTCCAGAAGAGTTTGTTCGAGGCAACAAACACCACTGGAGCGAAGTGATTCTCAACTCCCCATGGGAGCGCACCCAAAATAAGATCATGTTTTGTCAAATGTGAACAGCCCGGAAATGAATGTTTCCAGTGTTGGTGTGGCTAGTGTTGCAGTTGAGCCAAGAGAGATCTCTACCCGTGTCAATAACCATCGAAACATTCTGCGGAAGGATGCTAACCGTGGAGAGAT